ATCTGAAATACTAGTTTAGACAAGTTAAAGATTATTAAGATTGCACTATTTGTGTCTCCCTTTGATAAAATTTATCAGGGTTGAAACATATAGCATTAATAACCAATTTTTCTTATATTTTCCGTAGTTTTAATGATTGCATTAAACGCTATGAAGGTACAACCCATGATTAAGGTATTTTCGAAAGACAATTTGCACTGCTGACTTTATTTATAGAGCGATTGAGATCGCCTAAATAAATTATTAGAGCAATTGAGATCACCAGTGCCTGATCAAGTCTTCAAGGCGATCGAGATCATCCGTACCTAATCAACATTTAAAGCGATTGAGATCGTCAGTGCCTAAATAACTTATTAGGGCGATCGAGATCACCAGTGCCTAATCAACTCTTCAGGGCGATCGAGATCATTCGTACCTAATCAACATTTAAAGCGATTGAGATCGTCAGTGCCTAGATAACTTATTAGGGCGATCGAGATCACCAGTGCCTAATCAACTCTTCAGGGCGATCGAGATCATTCGTACCTAATCAATATTTAAAGCGATTGAGATCGTAAGTGCGTAATCAATCCTTTATGACAATTGAGATTATCCGTACCTAATCAACTTTAAAGCCATTGATATCTCGTCAGTGCCTAATAAATCTTTGATACCGTTTGAGATCCTCATTGACTGGTCAGTTATAGACAATCACATTTGAATCTCTTTTGCATTCGTGGCAGTTGGGAAATTACTGTAAATAAAAAATATCGTGTGCAGCATACTTGATAACAGTTAAATGATTCTATATTTACGAGATCGATATCTTTAATGAAGACCTTGTGTGGTCGTTGGAGTGGATACTGTCTAAATGGTATCACTCACAAGAAATGATTTCTTTTCCAGCTATTAAATAATACTAGGTGGCATGAACAATATGTTGAACATATCTTCATGCAATCTCATTTTAAAAGATATGACGATTCGAACATTCCTAATTAGTCTTGAAAGTGCTACTTAGGACTAAATATCAATATCGATTTGCACAGCAGACAACGTACAGGTATATCAGTTAAAAATACCGTAATAATTGCAAAGATTTGCTCATTTTGAGAAAAATTACAAAGTAAATGAAACATGTTACCTGTTTTTTCAAGTAGTGGTCTACAATATCGTGTACGTATCTTTTTTATTTCCACGTCTTTCTCAGCATGATTGGTTTCGAATAGCATATTCTAAGTCCGGGAATCATACAAGAGTTTTGGTTTGATTGTTAGTGACATGTTAGACAGTCTTCTTAAGCCTCTTCCAGAAGCAGACGACATTTAATAACTAACTGGTCAAGATCGTGTATTTCGCGCTGTTACCACGACTCTCTTACCGGCATGCCGTCAGAAGACGGGCTGCAGAAGAGTTCACTGAGTGCTTTTAATAACAACATATTTACAATTGAAAATTAAATAGCTTAATTGTGATACTGGAGAAGTTAAAATAGAATTACAAGAAGAATAAATCAACTTCATTGACTACAAATGTTCATAAAGTTTACACCACAAATTCCAGAGTCAAAATCATGTTTTGTGCAAAACATGTTTGAGAAGTCCATTGAATCCTACAAATAATTAGAAGGTTTAATTAGCAAAATATGAAGAATCAGAAAGGCTTAATTTCAAAGTATATTTTACTAAAGGAAAATGATGTAACTTTGTAACGTGGTGAAAAATAGTTCAGGACCATTGATTGAATTTTATTGCGATTTTTGTCGAAGGGCTATTGTGGCCACACATTCAGTTAAATTATAGTGTGTTAATCCCTATTATCCATTTTAATAATATGTATATACAAAAATATTATCTGGCTATTTACATTAGCAAAATGTTTGTTGTCTAGACTTTTAGGAAAATGTTATAATATTTGGGAAGATATCCTCGGATCAGGTGTAGACCCCAAATAATAATATGGTCTCGGAACAGATGATTGTGATCGACAATCCTCTAGACCTGATGCAGAGTGCAGAAATATTTGTTTAAGAAAGTGATAGCATTCGTCAGGCCCTGCTAACAGAAGAATTTGTCAGGCCCAGCTAACATCTACAGAGGAGTCAGGAACTTCATATCATTCAATATCATACATGTTGTGAACTTTGCTATAATAATGAAATATAATTTTGGCATCATTTCATTATGTTGATTTGAAAAACAAGATAATTTCACGTAGGAATACTTAACAGCTCCAATATTTCATCCATAACACACTGTTAAAAGATGTATGTGCAAAAATAGAAGATGCATCATAATTATTGAAGCGAATTAACTCAAATTTAATTGTTTACTAATTAAGTACTATTTCATGCCATGAAATACATTATAATGAGAAATTGCAGATAGCTCTATTTATGTAACCAATTGTACTATTACAGGTTGCGTAACGTCTTAACATAATGACGATGCACTTTGAGCACTGAATGTATTCTCTCTCAAGCCCTTGGGCAAATCAATATTGCACACCATTCAAATGTATGTTATTAAGGTTCACAAGCATTACTCTGTCATAAAATGCTAAAGGTACATATCGAAATGCTAAGCTATAAGGCCGGTTTTCCCATGAACTGGCTTATATATATATATATATATATATATATATATATATATATATATATATATATATATATATATATATATATATATATATATATATATATATATATTCATTCAATCAATTTCTGTGCTGAGAAGAAAAAGAGGTATAAGCGTGTAATGAAGCTGCTTTTAGCCAGACTGAACGTTTCGAGACCTACCGATCCATTTTAAATGGCCCAGAACCTCAACCAAACAATATGCTTTAACTCCCCCATCCGCCGTAGTGAGAACACTAAAATAACAAAGACACTGTACATTAAATGATGGGGTTCGGATTGTTAGATAAATAAACTATGAGTCAAGCAATGCTAAGTAATAGAAGGTGTCGTGCCTTTTAAAGAAGGTATGGTTTATATGCGAAATTTTGATTTTATACTTTATCTTGGACTTTCAGGACATTATCATTTTTTCCTCTATTTTGAAATCCTTTTTGTGGTGTATACTTAAATATACTTGGCACTATATAGCATTGACAAAAGTATAAGTACGGAAAGGTTTGAACTGTGTGGCAAAATATTCATGGTGCAAATTATTATAAGGATCATTTTTTGAAGAAAAAATCTTTCTCTCTGGTCAGTCTGTGTACAGTGTTCCTGTTGACAGCTTAGGAAAGTTAAGTCGGCATTACTTCTCTCGTCTGCATCAGCAGTGACCGCGCCAACTTTTGGTATGGGCATAGCATGGCATGGTGTTTATGACTCGATGTTCTAAAGCGCTCACCATTCTGTATTACTGCCGTCTCACCTCTCTCTGCGTGGGTTAGAGAGAAAACATGGTAGTAGCTTCTCGTGGGACGGTGGTTCTTGTCGGATTTTTCCAGGGTTCTTCCTACACCAGTCATACTGGAAGCCATGTATAGCCTATCTTGTGCTGAAAATTAACGTTAAACCCTACGACAAAAATAGTTTCATATTTCGATTGTACTTCGTAATGCAGCAAACTTCAAAGGTGTCAACATGTCGGTTTCGAAAGCAAGGCCGTTTTCAATCGCTACATAACGTACTTTCCACTGATGATATAACTTCCGTTTTATCCGAGTTTCATCTGACCCTTTCCACCCAGTGTTTAATATTTTGACATGTTTGTTAGGGTGCAGGGTCAGAGTCTATTATCTATGGAAAAGTTGGAAGACCTCCACCATTATGCTGTGGTGATATAGGGTTCCGATTATCAGCTGGCCTAGCAAACTCAAACGATCTTATATTGAGTCGAAGAAATTGCGAGTATTATTCGTTGCATCACTTAATCCACTTAGAGACGAGATGAAAATACACCATTGATGAAATTTGATATGGTACTCGTAATTTACATAACTAGTCACATGAATTTTCAAATCTCGCAAATTTCACGTCTGTGACATCAGAGGTAAAAATGTCAAGTGATATTTGCAATAAATCCCTTTTGGATTTTGCGCGGTGGAAAGAGAGAATATTAAATAAAAATAATAACATCTGAATGTATGTTGATGTATATTTTCTCTTGCACTTGCCATAGTCAATGCTCTTTCGTATAAAAAGAGAAATAAATGCTATTTAATCAATTACGCCGCGATGTAATAAAAAGGTTTTGCAAGCAACTAAATGAATTATTGAAACAAATTAAACAAGAAATTTAATAATACTCGTATGTAGTTTTTCTCTTAAGTTTTGTGCGGACTTTATGGCACATTTTGGCATAATGTATCAACACAACTTGCAGATTTATCCCTTACAACACATTCAGGAAGCACTTTATTCAGTAGTTGTTTTTTTAATTTGCTTTAGAACTTATACAATTCGTTGACCCATTTCAGAATAGCCTGCAATCTAAAATCTTCTTCGAGTAACTTAAAATATTACCTTTTCTGTATACGAACATGTTGCAGAATAGAAATTTAGAAGATTAAATTTACTCTTCGGTACAAAAACTCATCCTTACCTCCTTTTTGTAAATTCTTTTTACTTTCAATGACCGTTTGATACCTAAAGGAGAGTATCTCTTTGTCAGTTATGACAAAAGCTGTTGTAAGAGACAATTTGACTCATCTATCCTAATATATAGGAACGGAAAGGAGAGCGTATGTTTATCAGACCATTTTTGACAATAGTTGAAAATGGAGATAATTTAACTGATTTCTCTGTCATAATAAATGAAGATATGTGTGTGTGTGTGATTTAAATTTGTAACGTAGCTTTAACAATTTTTCAGTCATATCGACTACGATGTCTACAGTGTGACAGTTTATAGTGATGTTTAGCACTGGGCATCATGCCGCAGACATGTGGTATGATGTCTCACCTAGTAACAGAATCCTGACTCCAGGCAGACCAGTTCTAACACTAACCTCTTAATGCTTAGCGCCAAGTGAGGCAGCTGATACAACCATTTTAAAAATCTTTGATATGATTCAGCAGGGGTTCGGACCCGCGATCTCCCGCATCCAAGGCGAACGCTCTACCACTAGGCCACAGGAGCGGTCTAAATTGATATAGATCCTTTCTCAAAATATAACATATAGAATTGTAAGATTTTAGATGGCAGGTGTTATAAATATAGGATATTACATGCTTCGTCGTAATAATAACAATTATGAAACGACTTTAGTAATTTGTATGTTTTAAGATTCTTGGCGAGTCGGAATACAAATTATTCAATGAATTTCACAAATTGTAATTTGAAAAGAGCACAAATATAAAATAAATTTAACCCATCTGGATAATTTAGGATATTCAAAGCCACATAAAAGTGCAGAACAATTGCTTGAAAATAGATTCTGACATTTAGTTTTGTATATGCTAGTAACATTTCTAAAGTCTTTGGTATGACTCGGCAGAGGTTCGGACCCGCGATCTCCGAAGCGAACGTTCTACTACTAGGCCACCATATGTATGGTATTGTTATATATATATATATATATATATATATATATATATATATATATATATATATATATATATATATATATATATATATATATAGATTTATATATATATATATATATATATATATATATATATATATATATATATATATATATATATATATATATATATATATATATATATAATGCCAACAGACATTAACACTGTTATAAATATTTCATTGCGTATATTTATGTAGGCAAAAGATTCATATTTGCACAGTTTTGGTAATGCACGTGTTTAGGGGTGACATCAAATGCTGCGATTACTAACATTTCAAGAACTGGCTAATTATTCTAGTTCGTAGCCTAGTATATGACCTATAGGTCATATACTGAAATTGTATGCCCCAGTATAGGTGCTTGTACTTTGGACAGTCGAAATCAATACTGTTCGCGATTCTTTAATTATATATCATCAAATATCAATTGCCTTTAATTCTCGGGAACAATTAAAACTTCAGTTCCGAACCACGTAACAGATGTCAACTTGATAAATTGTATTTCTATTGGCTTAAACAACAAGCAGCGTCAGAGAAAATTGAACCATTGGTGACATCTGGATTTGACGGAACAGAAACAGAGCATTGCCAATTCGATCGTTTGCACCCTCGACGTCCGGGCTATAAAAACATTACAAATACCATTGCAGTGGTTGACTTTGGGCATTTCTAAGCTCATTTGATAATCTGATTCTTGTCGGACTGCATTTTTGCCCAAGGATACGGAAGACATTAACAAACGTCAACCAAAAACGTCAAAAAGGTAATGTTGCATACAACCGTAAACAAAAACATATGCGTATTGTTAGAAATGCATTCAGAACTCAACAAATGTAAAAGATTTGGAATAACAGCCATACATAAAAACATATCTCATTTTTAAGTGTCATGGAGAATATATAACTTTCAAAATCATTGTTACTGAATAAACCATTTTACAACATTGTTCAACTGAATGCATGAAACTTTCTGTCAAAGGTAGAGAGGACAATTCAAAAATATTTTGGTATTCAAGTGAATGTTGTTTATAGGACAGTCAGCTTCAACTGCTATTTCGAAAAGTCACTAAAATTAGAACAGACCTCTTTCCTCGCTTTCCTAAAATGTAAACCTGAAAATAACGTATGAACTTTTGATGACATTACTATTTATATGATATACTTGCAATCGTACTATGGCACATTACATATATATTTTTCGTGATTAACTGCCTCGAACAGTGTCTTAGCTAGATATCATGTCTTACCTCGAACAGTGTCTTAGCTAGACATTATGTCTTAATACAATCTTGCTGCTTAGGAACATTTTCTTGTTTACCTTCATTTGCCTTGTGTTCCGCTATTACTGCCGACTATAGACGACAAGCCATGATATTAGGCAAACTTATTATGTTAACACATACTTTCTTTTAGATGTAATTGTTACGTTTTCTTGAGAGATATATAACTTCATAAGACGCCATAAATCTGTACAGTTAGTTTCAAAGGATGGAAATATGCATAGAGATTGTAGAATACGCGGGAAGTAAACTATCTACTTGATGCTACAATTGTGACAGGCAAGTCGTATCTGATTATTCCTGCTTGTATCATAAGTCACTAACTATATGCACAAGTCACTAATTAATGAAACTTTTGATTAATCTTTATTTCTACTCTTTTGCAGAAACAGCCTCAACAAAATGGGGAGTCAATTACCCCACCTGGCTCTAATTGTCATCTTCGGCTGCATACTTTCTCCTGCAGGTATGCCCTTTTCAGCAAAGAAAAGTCCTGTATTTATGGACTTGTGTTGTTCAATCTATCTTTAAAATGATATATTTACCGACAATATGATGAACTAAGGATTGCTGTCCTTGGAAGCCATAAACAGCAAAAAATACTCGTCACAAATGTAAATAAAATTTTAATAGCAATTTTAGAGTCAAATTAAAAGGCATACTCAAAAATTAAGAGCGATACTTTCAAACAGTGATGAAGTGCTAGTGAAATCAGTTTCCATTTAAACTCAAAACAACGTGGGCAGCATACCAGCAAAAAGGCTTTGTCAGATTTATCGCACCTCAATCTGAGTAACAGAGAGACTTTTCTAAGTAAAATAAGTACAAACTACAGCTTAATTTTATGATCAGATATTATGAATATGAAAAACTATCGTTTTTTTTTTGTTATATCCTTGACGTTTAAGATGTGAATTGTTTGAAGGAGAATCAGAAGTGTTTGTTTTATCAAAAAATGCCTTTTACGTACTTACATTTGTAAGAAATACATATATTTTTCAGTAGACCTAAAAGTCGAGCGTGACTCCAGAAGAACTCGTATTATTTTAACGGATCAGTCAAATAAAGCTTATAATGAACATATCAATAAATTATTGTGATATCAAGGATGTTTATTTAATGATAATATATACGATATACATTAATTAAAGTCTGTTTCAAACTCCATTTTGTTATGTTTTCATACAAGGAATATAAATGTTTTGGCAGGTGACCAAGCTAATGTGATCTCAGCCTAATTTGATTGCATGAACAAATGTATATATATATATATATATATATATATATATATATATATATATATATATATATATATATATATATATATATATATATATATATATATATATATATATATATATATATATATATGTGTGTGTGTGCGTGCGTGCTATAATTCTAATTTTTTAAATCTTCGCACTTCTTGAAAACGATTCCCCTTTGCCCAAAGCTAGCATAAGATAGCAGTCTAAAGAACTTGAAGCATAGTCTAGACAGACAGACAGACAGACAGACAGACAGACAGACAGACAGACAGATAGATAGATAGATAGATAGATAGATAGATAGATAGATAGATAGATAGATAGATAGATAGATAGATAGATAGATAGATAGATAGATAGATAGATAGATAGATAGACAGATATGCACTGTTATACAAATCATTTATTAATTCTGCATACTGCTGTAGACATCATTTATTAATCTTTTGTATCATTTTCTTTTTTGTATACGATTTTTAAAGAAAAGAAAATTTTTATTTATAATTTTATTCAGTGCATGAATTGCTAAGGCGAACATAGTACGATAGTCTATTAAAATGTTGGTACATTGGATGGCAGTAAGGCTTCAACATTCCAGAAGATTTATGGAAAATATTTCTTTTATACTATTGTACATTAATTAGTCCCAAATGATGCATTGGTAGATATGAGCGAAATTAATAACTAATATATTATTTAAAGTTTGCAAAGTTAATTTGTAATTTCAAATTCTCGTTCATTTTCCACCTTTATTGATTATTTTCTCTGACTTCATTCATTTATTTTATTCATCTGTCTTTTTTAACCCCTCATCAAATATGACCAATCCAAACGAGATATTAAACTTGTTTTCCATTAATATTATTTCTAAATGTTGCAATAGAAGTGATATTTTAATAGATACTTTAATGAAATCATGAGAATTCGCAAAGCAGAAATGGACAAATATTATAAATGTCAAAACTGCGAATACCAGAAAGTTTTAATTTTTTTAGCTCAAAAAATGTTTGTCTATACCGCATGCAAAGATAGATACATTTTCGTTTGATACAGCATTGTTGTAAAAGGATTATGACAGATGCAGAATTGAAAGCTTCATTAACACGGTTTTTTCTTCAGTATATTATTGTTATGCGACGTCTTTTGTAAATAGTAGACTAACATCTGCCTGTGTGAGTTATCTTGTGTCAAACCGTTATTATTTTCAGCTTTAGGTTTCATCAATGTCGTTGTGTTGCATTGTGGTATACAATGAAGTTTCAAATGACACGATAAGATAGTTTAAATGATTAATTTTGAAGCTCATGGAGCGTTACATGGCTGTGTAAACGAATTTAACCACGTGTCATATTGATATTCGTTTATTTCATAAATAATATGACAAATGGACTTGTTGTGTTGATATACTCTGTATCATTGCATACCTCGAGATCAATACACTTTTTTAAACAAGTAAACGTGGCTTGCCTCGTTTCCTTTTAATGAAACATTTATACAACGAGTGGTATTTCAAAAATAGAGCGTACATATTATACATATATTTTAATTATATCATATAGCAATACATATATCTTAATTTCCAACGCAGTTAAGATTAACTACAAGCAATTGTGCATTGAAGGAATGAATGAACTCTGTACATCACTTTTCAGTTAAGTCCCCTACAACATGTAGTTCTTAACCTTTTGCCAATAGTCTCAATTTCTTTTGCAAATTTATAAGTTGTTTTTTTGTGTTGTTTTTGAACTTATATTTTTAGTCATAGTGATTAAATAAGTATAAGATACACATATGACTTACAAAAGAAAGATTGTTTAGATGAAAAAAGTAGAGCACTAGAAACACAGCAAGGTCAACTGTTTGAACACAGAACTCTCTGACTTTCGCATAACGACTAGCATATCAAACGAGTTTGAAATATAAACTGAACGAAACATGGAACTGTCAAAAAAAAATTAAAACATTTACATGTATTTACAGTTAACCAAAGTAATTATTATGATTTAATC